ATAATAAAAATAATTTAAACATTTTTCGTTTCTAAATATATCGTAGGAAAATAGAGGAAATATCATCAGGAGTAGTGTAATATCCTTCACACGAAAACAAATTTAAAAGTTACCCAAAATCGCTTTAAAACGAGATTGCATTTAGGTAAGTTATGAATTACTTAATCTTAAATTTTAGGCATTTTTTTATAATATACTACTACTTATGTATATTTTTGATGATTCGTTAGTTGTTCTATTCAATATTTTTGAAAAACAAGCGGTCATCAAAAATTGGATCTGAATGCAAAATTTTTGAAGTGAAAACTTCTTTAGGTCAGATTTTAACGCTCGGGTAAAGTCGGCTATAATCGACTAACTGAATTTTTTTATTTTATTTACTTATTTTAGTTTAACGGGCGAGCAACTTCTGTGGATATCATCGTCCGTTTTCTTGAATTTTCTTTCAGCTCGATAGAGTTTTAGATATTATTGTAAAGTCCCGTCTCTTTTAAAAATTTGGTTACTTTATTTAGGTAACAGTCCTCACTTAAAGCCATGGCGAGTGATATAGGTGGCCATTTTCCTGATATATTTAGAACAATCTTCAAATATGCGCTTCACTGTGGGGGTTGTTTGACAGTCCTGACTATGTGTAGTTGGCTGTTTTGTCATTAGATAGCCGTGGGTCAGGCGGCAATGTCCAATACGTAAGCGAGTAAATATCACTTCATCTCTTCTGGACTGTCACTGGACTGGAGCATATCCTCTTCTTCACTGATGGTTTGACCAGTCTAACTTTATTTCTCATTTGTTGATCCCACAGATTTTGCCATTTACCCCAGATGCATTCTCTTATTGGCTGAATAATTTCAGTACTTTCTAGATGACAGCTTTCAACTTTATCTAACTAGTGGGCTTCAATTGCAGCTCTATCGGATATAGCATTGCCCTTTATGGCAATATGGCTTGGTACCCAAATAAAAACTACCGTTCTGCACTTGGATTGAAGACTGTGGAGCAGGCAATAGATTTCACTCACGACAGGATTGTCTGAGTAGGGGTTATTGATGCTTCGGAGTGCGCTCAGTGTGTCCGAACAGATTACAATAGTATCTTCTCTGCTCTGAAATGTTTTTAGGTACGGTTTAAAATATCTCAGAAACTAAAAATCTGGCCTGCATACTGCATGCGAGGAAATTGTTCAGCATTTCATCCTGTAGTAAGCTAAAATTCAAAATTGTATCTTAACGAGACGCCGTGTTATGGAGACGAAAATGAAAACAATTGTGTCGAAAACCAAATGATAACGAGGTTAGTTGAATAAATGGATTAAAATATTTCAGATAATAAAATACGGAGCTGTATACTGTAAGAGAGAGAAATAATCAGCATTTTGTCTTCTTTGTAATGAGGTATTATTCAAAATTGTATCTTAACCCAATACCGTATTAGAGAGTAGGAGAGAGAAAAAGATAGTGTCAATCAAAACCAAATGATAACGAATTTGACCTGCATATTAGGTAACCGAGGAAAATGTTGAGCATTGGACGTTCTTTATAATGAGTTATTATTTATAATTTATATTTTATATTATTAATCTCGCCTTATTGCTATTTTTACTTTTATCCTATGATCTAAAGCACACACCTTATTTTTTTTTTAAATCTTACTTTTTTATTCTTTAAAACTTGTAAAGGAATTAAAATCTTATTTTTTCGGAGGATGTTTATTATTTCCCCCTTTCTCTCGTAACTCGCAAAACAATTTAAATAAAATGATATATCATTGTTATAGCCTCATTCATTTATGCTATACAATTTTACATCCTCAAGCATAATTTTATGGATGAGAACAATTGACAATAATAAATATTCTCTTGTGTTAAATTACACCAGAACATCATAATCTTTTTATGAACGAGCTCCTAATGGATTTTCGCCAGCGTTGCGCTTTCAATATAAATATTAGGACATCGGAAAAAGTGGGGAAGTCCTTGGAATATTTTTCTGTGGCCTTAAAATGAATTAGCTCAGATAAATAAAAAATGTACAACCTGTGACGTGTTTTTTTCTATGTTTCTATCCCATTATTTTAAAGTTCATTGTGAATTTCTTTATTTATTCTTCAATAATAGGATGTCAGGATCATCATTTAAGTACTTAGCCTTTTTCCTTACACTACAAGTTTGCTGTTCATTAATAGCCAATGGAACTAAAAAATTTACTTATTTATTATTTTATGCTGGCCTCTACACTATAAATTAATTTGCATTCTTGTATACGTATCTCTTGGTAAATCCAATAAAATTAAATGAAACCAAAAAACAATTTCTTTCATAATTCTGGAGAAATTCTTTTAGGTTATTTGGCATATTTTTAAGTTTGGACTTTAAAATTATAAGATTAAAAAAAATTTTAAAGTTTGCAATTTTAATGCTTCATTAATATTTAAAGTAAATTAAAGTAAGCCTTAATTTTAGCTAAAAAATACAATATTAAAAAAATAAAATAAAATGAAGATTAAATATAGATAGTGCGAACAAACAAAATAGTGTAAATAATAATATAATACACAGAAAATGTACATTTTTTTGTAGAGAATTGAATTCAAATGAGTCTAAAGATAATTTGTTAATAATAATAAGGCTTAGCGAACCCGAAAGCTCGATGCCAATACCACCAATCGATGTCCACATTCTTCCATCCACTGGGCTCAAAACCCAACCCCGCCAAATCAGCCTTAACGCAATCTTCCCATCTTCGCTTTGGTCTAACCCTCGGACGCTTGCCAGTCGGTACAGCGCATATTAACTTTTTAGGAATTCTTTCCTAGTGCTAATATATGCACTTTGTAAGAATATATATGTAACAACATAATAATTATCTGAAAACAAGAGCACAATTTTTTACGTTTTTAAAGTATCCCAATTATGAACAACAAAACCTAATGTTGTATCTTGATGGTTTCTAAAATATTGAGTGGATGCATTCATAAAATAAATAAGAAATAAAATAAAGGATGGGAAATCCCAGAGACACTGTTTTAATAACTGCTGTTAATCACACGTCCGACGCTACGGTTCACATACCAGTGACACGTGCAACCTCAGGGATTTGTTTTACAATGGCACACTCCTGCTGTGATTGGGCGCGTGCAATGGTCACGTGACTAAGCCACTTACTGTCATTGGTCAATTAAATCCTTCATAGGCTCTTCGATGTATTTTTCTTTCCTCAAGTACACTTGCTTAATGTCTGAAACAACATTTTCTGATTGAATAAGCTTTATTTAAATGTCTCCTTTGTTATTGACTGGTTAGAAATTATTAGTCCAATACCATACTGTCGGAATGAATAATATCATAAACCTAACGGACACTGTATTAAAGATAAATTAATATACTTTTAAACTAAAGCACATAAATAGTAAAAATACAGCTCATTACGTTCATGGTTTTTCGTACAAAATGTAGATTCAATCCACCAAAGTTAGTTTTTGAGTGAGGAACTATGAAGGTGATGACTGAATTCGGAAAAAAAAATTGTCTAAAGGTGTAACTGTAATAAATCGATTATTTAATTATTTCATATCTCAATCTATTTAAAACGATGAATTTATGCCGATGTTACTGAAACATACCATCGAAAAGGTGATAAGAACATCACTTGAAAATTAGTGTTGACCAAACGCCAGACCAAGACGAGTCTTGGTCTTGGTCTTGATCTTGCGCAAGAGTCTCGCAACTGTCTTGCAGTTACCTATTGGTTTATTACTATAAAGATATTAATTTAATTTTTCAGATAGGAGAAACCTAACTAAGCCCGAATGAAGAATTAGAATAGTTAAATGCAAAAGTATATTGGTTATACCAATTCTTTATATAAGTAAATTGTCAAGTATTAGTAATTATTTTGTCTTAATTTTTATTCAAAAAGTCAATTTTTTTTGTACCACTTTTGGTCTTGGTCTTGCAACAGTTAGGCGGTCTCGGTCTTGGTCTAGCAAAGTACAATACCAAGACCGATTTTGGGCAACACTACGCATATCATAATTAATCATAAAAACTTGGAATATGTTGTTATAAATTATTATCTGAGAAATTAAAAGAAAATTTAAATAATTGGAACAGGTAGGGCCTAATGAAATATTGGACATACGCAATTCAATTCTAACTTCCTACGAGTATCCAGTTAGTCGACTTTTTCTAATTTCTTCATTGGCATTAGGTTACATGTTTTATTTATAAATGTTGGGTAATTTGTTATTGATTTAGTTTTTTTTAATGCCTGTACTACGGAATATTTGTGGAGGTGAAATGATATTCGCGCTCTCTATGTTTTAATATCGGATCCCTCATAAATCTGCTGCCATGGAAAGCATCCTTATTAATTACAGCTAAATGCCATCATTAATGTAAGAATATCATTTGTTAATTGAAAAAATAATCTTCCGATAATGCCAATTTTCTCGATGGACATGAAGTCTGTTATTCAAAAGAAGCTGCAAAAGAAGTACATTTTTGAAGGAGATGAACTCTTGAGAACGTTTTTGTGAATTTTGACTTTTTGTTAATAAAAAACAATAAAAATGAATGCTTTAAAATAACACAAAACCTTTTATGTATAAAAAATAACTACGACAATAACAAACGCACATTCTTTATAATTTAAGGTTATGAAATGTCCATCATAAGTATTCCGAGGTGGAGATTCATGTACAAGTTCCACCATTAAAATTGTTTTGGAAAATTTTTGAGGGAGGCACATTTTAATAGAGTTATAAGTTTTTATAGAGAACGTTGTTTTTGTGAGATTCAATTCGGAGATACTTTAACGTAAACGGAAACAGCATGAGACCAACACAGAACGTATAATTTATATGATCTTCAATTTTTCTAATTTGATTTTCGCTTTCATTGTTTTTAAGACGAGAAGAGCAAAAACATTTATAGCATAACTTTTGAATACATAGCCTTGTGTTAGTATTATTAATAGTCTCATCACCAAGCAACAAATTTGAAATAATAATACATTTTACAATATTATCAAAATAATTTTTGTGGGTGGAATTAAAAGTGCTTACTAGCTGGATATGGATCGTGAGTCGTAGTTTGTAGACCTCTGCTAAGATATATTACTAAGATGTATTACTAAGGTATGATACTAAGATTATTTGTAGAAGTTATAACTGTAATATTGATTTATTTGAATGTATTCAACACTTACCATACTACACAAAAATAGTTATTCTCTTCTAGTTTGTTTAGCAACTTTAGAGAGGATTTTAATATTTTTTTGTTTACTTGAATGAAGTCGATTGTTGCTTTTATCTCGAGAAAGCAATCGATTCGATTTATACTCAGAAATCATACCGTTCATATAGATACGTATAGGTAACTTTACACAAATACTAATTTCATTCATCTAATTCACAATTCCCTAATAATATGATTTGGTCATCTAGGTCGTAAATGCCGAGGCGGTAAGGAGCGGCAGGCAGCCAACCTGAGGGAGAGGAGAAGAATGGAGTCGATCAACCAGGCCTTCGAGGGGCTGAGGGCCCACATCCCCACCCTCCCCTACGAGAAGAGGCTGAGCAAGGTGGACACTCTAAAGCTGGCTATAGGGTGAGTGATCAACCCCATAACTGAGTAGTCCCTTAGTTGTTCAAAAGTAGCAAATTAAATGGAATGCAAGTAATCAATGAACATAAAAAAAAAGAATTTTTAAAAGCTATTTGGACGTCAGTGTGTCCAATTAAGATATATGGTGAGCAGAATATTCAATCAAAGTTTTCGTTCGTTTTCATTAACTCAAAGCAAACTGAAGTATGAATTTTTACAGTGATCGAAAAATAAATTTTTTTGTTCTAAATTTTCGCAAAGATGACAAAACTGTTAATAATTTCAAGACGACTGTACTAATTCACACAGTTGTTTAGGAATTAAGGATCCTACAAACTCCGTTAGCTTAAATCCATCTCCGTGAACAATTTATAGCGGAATGTTTAAAATAAAACTATTGAAAATGAGGTGTGATGACTCGGTCATTTGAAAAAAATAATAATACAAATAAAGTGAGACCCAACAGTACATAAATGTTAATGAAAATTAAAGTGCATACTTAATGGTACAATAATATGTAAAAGTACAAAATTATATATAATGATTTTTTTAAAAAACCTGTTAATGTAAAAAAAAAAGTAGTCAAATTAAATGCCGGTATGCAAAATAATCTATTGATTTAATTTTCGCATTTAAATTATGGAATTTTCAAATACATACCTAGATCTGTAAATTTTATGCTTGGAGCTGTAATTTTATAGAAAAGCCAATTACTCCCAGTAGGAAACATAAAGTGATACCAATAAGATGTTTATTGCAAAAGGATTGATAGATGCATTTCACCCATTGCATTGACTTGAAAAATAATGTAAAAAATGATATAATCCTTGAAGATTGTGTTTGAAGGTTTATTAATAGATTTCAAATGGTAATTGACTGGTTAGAAAATAGTTCAAGTTTTGATATTTGTCCATTGGCCGATGCACTGTGAGCAGGTAGTAACGTTATGCTTAGAGAAAATCATGAGGTGAAAGCGAAAGCAAATGAAAAAAAAAATAATCCTCCAAGAAAAGTTCTAAAATTAATATCTTTCTATTTACATAAAAAATCGTATTCAATAATTTTAAAAGACAAATTTAACTTTCTAATATAAAATTATTTGATCTAATTTATTGGAATCCTTTTTTGTTTTTTGTAATATCTGATACTTTTGAATTTAATAATATCGGTAATAATATTTTCTTGTTTAAAAAAAATAATAATAAATCGATTGGTACATAATACCCAAGAAATTCTCGCCAAGATAAGTCAAATATATTTATTTTTATTTAATAATATATCATAATTTTTTCTCAGCTCAGAAAGACCATTGGAATGATTCCAGAGACTTAACAATATTGTATATTTCGATGTAGATTCACCAAAATAAATTTGGTTGAAATCGATGACCCAATGACTTCGACTCTCCTTATTCGTGATTTATTTTTTTAAATCGTTTCTTAAATATTTTATTTTTTAAGGTCTTCTATTAGCATCACTCTCTTGGGATTACAAGACGTTAATCCATGTTTATGACAAAGAATCAGTTTTTCTTAGTGATTCATATGCCTTTGCATGTATCCTATTTCCTTTTAACTTGACACTTATTTTTAATATACTTTTTAAGTTAAGAATGTCAATTTATAAAATTGAGTAAATCAGCGATATTTATTTATTAAATTTGATCAAAATACATTTTTCATATCAGTACTCTCAATACGTAACAGGAGTTTAATTTCATTTACACATTTCAAATTTTTCCAAACTTCTGGTTCAATCCATTTCAAGTTCTACTCGTCCCTATAATCCAACTTAAATCGGCAGTTGCTATGAAATCTTTTCTGAAATAAATTCAACAAGTAGATTTCGGTAAATGTCTAGATTGCGTATGGCGATAGAGATGTTCTGGGATTTCAAAGCTTTACCACTCATATTTTGAGGAGGAGTCTGGGTGTAAATTTTGGATATTATTATAATCTGTATTAATATTCTTATTTTATTATTAGTCATTATTTATTTAGTAAATATAAACAATTTGTTAATTTTTTTTTTCAGGTACATTAGGTTTCTTTCAGAGTTGGTACGAGCAGACAGAGGAAGAACTGAACCTAAAGTGAAAGTTAAAGAGCAGGAGAAAATAATTATCAGAGGTGAATGTTTTTTTTATTAATTTATTACAGCAATAAAATTAGTTAATAATTATAAGACACTGGACCATCTTCCGTGGTTGAGGTCTTAACTATTCTGAACATCATAATAGCAACGATTGATATTTAGAAGGTATTTAGTCACAAATATTTTTTTCGGCAGTACATAAACTTTTGAAAGCGGGGTAGTACTCACGGAGAAAAGCACAATGTTCTTATGCTCTGTGTTCGATTCCGGCTACGTAATAAGTAGTTATTTATACAGCCGTGGATCAAGCCTGGGGTCGGGAGATCTTCCTCGAGCACGCTCGAACTCTATAAAGTAGGTCATCTTATATTAAATAATTAAGTAAGGGCAAAAACCTGATATTTGAGCGTGAAATCGGTCAAATCACTTACTTCTACAACCGATAATCAAGAAACTTCAACTCCAGTCAATGAATGCTCGAAAAGGGCGTATAGAAGGAAATGGCGGGGACACAATTTTTGACTTTGGGACATTGGTTGGGTTAGTAACGATGTAAACAAACTAAAATTCCCTCTCCTATTTTCGCTTATATCAGGAAAACTATCCATCCCATCGACAAATAAATTCTATATAAAATTAAAGCTGATAAAATTAGCAATATGGTTGATTATATAATCAAGTTATCTAATATTATTTATAATATTATATAATAATTGCTCTAACTTTTGACCCGTTTGGCGGTAAACTGGTAAAATAATATATATTCTTAGAGATTCGATGATTAAAACTTTATTTCCTACGACTTAATCGTAGAAAGAAGCAATGAAGTGTCAGCAAGTCAAATTTGGTAAAAAACATAAGATAAAAGTTTTTTTCCACGTTACCGATAGTTGAGAACGGATATGTCGGAAATTATATTGCATACGGTACATAGACAATAATATTGAAAATTTTATCAGCTTTAATTATTTATAGAACGCTTTTGTCAATGCGATGTACAGTTTTCCCGATATTAGTGAAAACCCGAAAAAAGTGAACTGATAGGCGTTCCCCCATCTGGTTCACCACCTAGGAGTGGGGACTTTTATTATGTTTACCTACTTACTAGTCCATACAATGTCACAAAGTCAAAAATTGTGTCTCCACTACTTCCTTCTATAATCATTCATTTACTGGACCTATAAAGTACTGAGCACAATTAAACGTTTATTATTTAATAAAGGAAAACTATTTTTTTTGTTTTTGCATTGCAGACCATATAGATATTTTGCAGCCTTAACAGGCCTACTCCATTTCTGCCTATCAAAGCAACTTATCAGATAACAAGGAAAACTATTATGAGGTTAAACACATCAGTCATGAAAAAATCCTTGAGTTGTGAAATATGTAATGAACTTATTTTTATAATAAAGATTTTTTTCTTAATAAAGTGAGACTTTAAAAAACAAGTAAGCAACTTTTTAATCAATACGCCTCACATATATCGTATTTAATTAAGCAAAACTGCCATGAAGTTGAAATATTGTCATTGGACAACCTTGGCTTGGGAAAGGTATAGGAAATTTTATTATTATATAATTGTTATGTTTGGTTCCCAAGATAAAAAAAAAAAAAAAAAAAAGAAGAAAAAAAAGAAAAAAAAAAAGAATGATAAAAAGCGAGACCTTCAAAAAACGTGTGCTAAATTTAGTTAATATTAATTAATTGAATAAAAAAACAACGGAACAAAATAGTGTAAAAATAATTAGAACTGCACTAATTAATTATTCATTGCTTTTTCATAATTAATTCCAGATTTATCTTACGATGAGAGAGAAAGAAATATGGTAATATTCTTTTGGAGATCTCATTCAATTTCCGTGAATCCTCTAGCGTTATTTTCCTTTACTGTTAATTATTTCGAAACCGCAGTAGTTCGTAGAAATGTTGGTTTGTTATGATTTCTTCAGGTAAATAGTATCTTTCAATGTAAAGTTATTTAGGTATCGATCACATATCTTCAAAACTATCATAGTCTTCATTGCTATCTCCATTCAATAATTTATTCTATGGTAGAGATATCTATATATTTAGGTAACACTGTATAGGTGCCACTCCACTTTGATGATTGGACCAAGAGCTCATGTTCGTGCTATAAATGGGATTCCAAGAATAGAAGATTGACAAAGTGTTCACAGAATAAAATTCTTTTATTAAGTTTGCGATTTACGATCTCGGCAAATTTTCAACATGTTCTTGTATATGGTGGCCAGACGCTTTTGGCGGGACATTCCCGGTTTCTAACAATTTGTCCCGCGTTCAGAAGCGTTTTAAAAAAGTACCGATTTTCGGCAAGATTGCAAGAAAAGCTAAAGAATGGCTAGAGACAAGATCATATATGATTTTAGGCGGCCGCCATATTATTTCACTAGGATAAACGTTTTATATTATTTTTGTTGATGAGGAAAAGGTTAAATATTGGGTATTACAGAAAATTAACTTCGATTACCGAAATGTTGTCACTTTCAATAAGTTTTTAGCATTTTGAAAAAGAACTACTTGATTGCGTACAAACTGCTGGCACAAAAGTCTTAAAAACTGTGTTGTTATTGAAGTCATAAATTAGATGCACAAATACATATATACAAATACATCATCAAATTATTCACTCTCAAAAATACAACTTTAATTCCTTTAAAAATCTATATTATGCATCGCCCCTTATTGCCAATCTATATTATTAGTTAATTATAATTATTCTTATTGCCAATTGGAAACCATGTATATTCAAATTGTTCAGCTACTTATAAGCCCGTTAATAATTTGAGCTTTTTATTTCTAATATTTTCTTATATAATATAATAATTAATATATTTCATTCAAAGAGAAATGTCTAGATCGAAAAATAATTGCTGCCACTTATGTAAAATCAAACTACCACCTCCAGATTAATACCTTTTCTCCTACAAATTTTAGTCTTAAATTTTTATTTTATTCAATTTATTAGGAGAATAGGTGGTAACCGAAGCTCAACTTATATGTAATTGAATGAAGGACTGCATAATTTGTAAAATAATCACCGTGCGAGAGCAGCACTACTTGAGTTCCTGTTACCTCCTACTCTACAAATACTGAAATAAAATATGAAAGTCACTAAACTTTTTTTTATAAAATAGAGAGATAACACTAATATTTTGTTAGCTTACCACTAAAAATGGTGAAAACATTGAGCTAATCTTGATCATCATTATATTGTAATGTTGCATGATCCTCACATAGTACATTGTGTATTTGCTCTTGCTCTTGAAGTAATAATTGGTGTCTTGTGAAACATGAGTTAAGTAGTTCTATCAGAAACTTGTATGGTTAGGAAAATTCTCACATGAACTCTGTATTTTATAATTTAAACATTCAGTCTTGTGTATTTTCAAGAACATTCTTAAAAATCCTACTTCTCTTAATTCCAACTAATTTCGACACGTTTTAAATGCAGACTATAAACATTAGATTGTAAATAGCAGATCATATAAAATAAATACAATGCCGATGAATTGGTAATAAGGGATTGTTTCCTTGGGAGATTCCACATCTTTTTCAAAGATTTAGTATTGCTTGAAGTATGTAATCAAGAGATCGCCTTGAAGAATACAGGTGCGCGTCCTTGGCGGAAATCACGATCCTTCTAGAAGCTGTGCTAAAATAAGCGATTATAAGATGTACGTGTACTTTCCCCAGAACATTTAGTTGCGCATAAAAGTACTTGTATAAAACAAGAACGTGCTGAGTATGAAATTTAGTATTCTGTTGAATTCTGTTAACGGAATCGTCACCTTCACTAAAACAATAGATTTCTGATGTTTCCCCTTAAACGATATTATATACTGGTTTGAATCCAATAGAAAAATAGTTTGCTGTATCTTGACGAAATATTATTTAGTCCTATTTACATTTTTTTTTTTTTATTTCTTAGGCAATCCAATAATATTCCAAATAGGCATCTAGAATGTTTCAAGAGATGAATAGTTTTTGCATTACTCTAAAAATAATATAAAGTGAACGCACGGAACCATGTCCAGAATACTTCAAAAATACTTAGTAGACTTTGTTTCGGTATGTATTAGAATATGACGTAACTTTGCTGGTTAGGTTTAGAAGATTTTTTAACTTTATTTTATAGAGAATATAATTAACCACCTTTCAGGAGTGTTGTGTAGCATTCATCATAACAAAATATTAATTTGAGATTTATGCGAGAACGGTGTTTTCTTTTTTTAGGTTTTTTTATGAATAAGAAGTTTAAGGACTTAAAGAAAACACTTTAGAACATATATTTTTAAGAACAAAATAAAAAAGATTTTTTGGATATCGAATTAAAGCAGAAGAAATTTATGATATGCTAGCTAATTGAATGATAGCTAAATGAGATTGAAAAATACACTAATATTGAAAAATAAAACGTTCTTTAAATATGTTACAGTTTAGTTTGCGCGTAACAAAAAATCTTGAAGAAAATAGCCGCGGAAGGCGTACGGTGTTAAAAAAAGGCAGACGGACGGATTTTTTTATATTGGATTTTTGGATAATACGGTTCTTGAAATGTAAAATTTCAAAATTTGAGGAGGTTGCCTTTTTTTTCTAGGTCGATTACAATGGTTCGGCATTGAAATTGGGGAGCGTGGTAGCTCAGTAGATGAGGACCGACTTCAACAGCTTAAGGTCCGAGATTCGAATGCGGCTGCTGGCTAGTAATTTTTCATCGGCAGTGGATCGTCCCTGGGGAGGCAGGAGGCTCTCCTTCTGGGGACACACCAGCTTCTATAAACTGTTAATTAAATAATTAATTATGGAGAATACCGGGCGGTCGAGGGTGATTCCTCATATTTAGTGTTGCCCAAATGTGAGACCGGACGGGTATCGCAAAAGTCTTGCAGTTACTTATTAGTTTATTACTATAGAGATATTACTGTAACTGTTTAGATAGGAAAAGCATAACTAAGCCCGAACGAAAAATTAGAGGACTTAAATGCAAAAGTATATTGGTTATACCAATTATTTA